CAAGTAAAAGCTTGGAATGGTCTATTCATTCATTGGAGTGTGTGTCTGTGAACCAGACTAGTTTCGGAGAATTCCACTCCTCATCAGTGACTCTGGACACTACCACCAATGAAATATCAAACCAAACCAAGCCTTTATAGTAGTGAGATATCGAACTGGTGTATTTAAGTGTTTTACACTCACAAAAAAGTACAAGTTCTTCAAATACCTATAGAATGATAGGTTTCTTCTTTTTTTTCAATGAAAGAATAGACCATTCCAAGCTTTTACTTGTTATTAAACAAATGTTTAAACAATTCTATTTATTCAATGGTCTATTTATTGCAATTATAAGCAATTGTGTGTAGTATATGTTTAAATATTTCATGAAATGACCAGTCTGTACTTAAAAGGTCTAATCATTACAATTATTAGCACTTGTGTGTAGTATCTGTAAAAATATTTCATAAAATGACCAGCTTGTACCTTAACTGGTCTAATCGTTGCAATTATAAGCAATTGTGTGTAGTATCTATATAAATATTTCACGAAATATTTAGCAATGATTAGCCCAGTTATGTACAAACTGGTTATTCCATGAAATAGTATTTATATAAGTATTTCACGAAATTTTTAGCAATGATTAGACCAGTTATGTACAAACTGGTTATTCCATGAAATTGTATTTATGTAAGTATTTCACGAAATGTTTAGCAATGATTAGACCAGTTATGTACAAACTGGTTATTCCATGAAATAGTATCTATATAAATATTTCACGAAATATTTAGCAATGATTAGACCAGTTATGTACAAACTGGTTATTCCATGAAATAGTATTTATATAAGTATTTCACGAAATGTTTAGGAATGGTTATACCAGTTATTTATTACTTTTTCGTTTTCTGTTTACTTCCATATTTGACAATCTGTTATTTGTCACTTTTAAAATTAGTCTATAGTGTCTGCTTTTTTGTAAAAGGATGTCTCTTTGTAGCTTTTTTATTTCATTTCAACATTAGGTACAATACTGAATTTTTGCTTGTATTATACATGTAAAGAAGGCAAAGATCACTCATTCCAGATATTTTTCGTATAACAAACATGTTACAGACTCTCAATTTATTCATTAAGTTGTCTGCTTGTCCAAAAAAAACAAGTCTATAATGAGGGTGCTGGATTGATAAGCGCCCCCTAGTACTAAATGTTACAACTACAGTATTTTTAGCGTTCTTGCTTGGTAAATACAAGTTAGAACTCTCAGGTTTGGTTGTGAAAGCTTTTCGAGCCATTCAGTGAGGGGACAGGTCTCCGTGATTTCAAAGTACTTTGTACGAAATTTCAAGCTTCCGCTATGTTAACGACACTGCATTCTACTTTACCAGCACGACCTCTTCTCGTGCAAGTTGACTTTGAAGTTTCTGGAGATGTTCACGGTAAGAAAAATATAACATATATAAATAGTTCTCAAAGTACATTTTATAAAAAGTATAGTCAAAACCAGGTTCTTTTTTCAAATTAGCGAAGGTAACCGATTCAGTGGCAGCATTCATTTTGGTGGCCTCACAAGGATGATGTGTGCTTGTCATTAGTTACATAAGCAAAAGGGGAAAATAAAAACGGCTGTCAAACTCGTAGAAATGAGAAAATGGATAAAGTTAGGGGTTTGAGATTCCCTCGGGGTCATACCCAAATCCTTGAAAATTTCAGAAGTCTGGAAGTTGGAAAATGTTCGTTACAGACAGACCGAAGCTACAACAGCAATTGTTTATTTTTATACCAATTTCAATTTTGGAGAAATTTATATTTTATTTTAAAGGTTGATTTCTGCCACCCAAACAGAGTATTTTCTGACACATGCACACAAACTATACACTCTTTGCTAAAGGAAGCACATTTCAGGGTGACAAAAATATCATCGACAGTGCCTTACTCTCGCTTGTAAGAAACTAGGCTACATGTTTGGCTCCGGACCAAACTCTTCCACGAGAAAGAGTGTGCCTGTACGGTTATGAACTTCTCAAGAGGTTGCTAAGAATATTACTCCAGTTTCTTATGCGATTTATTTTTCTTCACGAGACACATATTAGACTTTAAGTAAAATTGTTGAAACTTGCCTATTACTTCGGCTGAGAAATTTCACAGAAAGTTAGCAGAATTAAATCACGATTTTTTATGCATAAGAACCATGAATATCTTTACATAAAGGGCTACCTGCGCTCTGCCCACTGCGGGTATCGAAACCCAATTTTTGACGCTATAAGCCCCCAGCTGCTGAGCCACCTGGGGAGGGAGGTGTATATTGGGAAAGAAGTATCAATTATTTATTGTTATTCACTCATGAAGTTCTTTGTAAATTGATATATATAAATATAATTTCTTTTGTCGGCAAGTCAACCGTTTACTGAAACATTTTCCAAGAAGCTTAGTGAATATAATACGTATATTTAATAAGTGATTTCTAATTGTTCGGATCTCTTCGGTGAACAGAACTCGGATACCCCTCTGTGTGTGTGTAGCTTTACGCTAAAACTAAAAGAAAACAAACTAATATCATTGACTATTTATTGTCAAATCTAGAGTTAACATCAAATTTTGAAATTTTAAGAATTTTGCGTAGGCGAAAATAAATAAAGAATGGACTTAGTTAATACAGCCCAATCTGTAATAAAGAATAAACTTAGTTAACACAGTCTGATAAGTCATAAAGAATGGACTTAGTTAATACAGCCTGATCAGCATTAAAGAATGAACTTAGGTAATACAGCCTGATCGGTAATAAAGAATGAACTTAGTTAATACAGCCTGATCAGCAATAAAGAATGAACTTAGGTAATACAGCCTGATCTGTAATAAAGAATGAACTCAGTTAATACAGCCTCATCAGTAATAAAGAATGAACTTAGTTAACACAGCCTGATCGGTAATAAAGAATGGATTTAGTTAATACAGCCTGATCAGCAAAAAATAATGAACTTAGGTAATACAGCCTGATTTGTAATAAAGAATGAACTTAGTTAATACAGCCTGATTACACCTGCTAATAATGTCACACGTAGATAATACTAAACGTTAACAGTGAACTTGAGAAAATGAAATGAAGTGAAAGTAAATCCTGGATAAGTGCGTTCAGTTGATACAATTTAAAGCACTTTATATTCAACTTGAACTAGGTTACTTACATTTACTCACTTTTTAATGCATTTTTGTTTTACTCGATCACAATTCTAGTATTTTCATTTACTTGTAATGATATGTTAACGTTATTTTATTTCAGTTACGTTGTCATATGAAACACTAACTTGTGGTTTGCCAGTTATTGTGAATGGTAGTAAAGCTAATTGAAATAGTGATGACAAGAATGAATATGAATAACTACCAAAATAATCGGTGATAAAATAAAGAAATAAAAGATATAATAAATGATGTTGTGTTATTAATTCTTATTCTAAAAATCTGATTTTTAAATGACTTAAAAATTAAATTGCTTAATTTGGTTTACACTATGATAATCATTGTTCATGAAAGGTATATATATACTTAATTTTTACTTATGCTTATACAAATCGCCTAGACTACTACTACGTCTGTCGAATTCCATCTGGCCTGATGAGCACTGGTATTAAACGAAAGGCTTTGTCGGCACTCGATACGATAACATATTCTGCTTTGTTTTCAATAATTAGTTTATAAAATATCACTCCAATAATAACTGCGAATAATAATTATTAACAACTATTTATTTCCGAAATGAAAAATATCCAACATTTCAAGTTCAGTTCCATCAAACGTATAACAATTTTCGATTAAGTGCTCAGATAGTTGGGAACCTTACAAGTTGCAATGTAATATAATTACATTTATATGTTTTTCTCCAAGGTCGAGTAAAATATTTGTAATAAATTTAGTAAATAGCGTTTATTTATAGCTGCTTACAAACCCATTGCTGGCTCAGCGGTAGGTATGAGGTCTTATAACGTTAAAAATATGGTTTCGATACCTGCAGTGGGCACAACACGACAGTCCATTGTGTAGCTTCGTGCTTAACACTAAATAAAGCTTACAGTAACAAAGTGTTAAATAACCTCTGTAATTATCGACATATGCATATATATATATATATATATATA